CCGCTCCGGGACACCATCACCGACCGGTGCATTATTTCGTTATTTACGGGAGACCTTACGACCCTCGGATCTCCGGGTTTTGGTATTTTTTTTAAACCCCGCTGTAGAAAGTGAGGTATATTTTCACAAGTGTTCTCCGTTTATACAGCTTTAAGTGCCAGGTAGTGGGTAGCCTCGTGTTCCCAGAGGTCCAGGACAGGGCCACGCTCCCTCTGCTCCTCTCTCCCTTTTGGATGTTGCACACTGCATTCTGTTATTTATCCTTTTTTTTAAAAAAACATGTCCAATATTTAAACCACCAGAGGTTCTTTTGAAACTGTCCCGACAGAAGATGCTGTACATAGACTTTGCTACATGTTGTAACTTTCTGAAATAGTTAGAACTCCAATCCCTTTGGTATTTTTATGTGAATATTTTCAAAGAGCCAGAACTTCTGGCGATAAGATTTGATAAGGGGACGATGTATATTCCCGGTTCAGTCTCTACCCAATGCCTATGTGCTATTCCTGAAATAAAGCTACTGCCTTCTGCCTCCTGACTGCACAGACCTCTGTCTTCTGTCCAGAAGTGCTGCTGCTGATGGTGTCAGGGATTCTGCACCTTCTGCACTGTTGATCCTGGCTCTGACACCTGCAGGCTCTCACCTGGCTGGGCTGGGCTGGGCTGGTGGGGAGAAGAACCTTCCTGCCCCACAGCATCCAGGCTGGAGGGATCAAAACGAGCAGCAAATTCTTAAAATAGCACGGATTTTTAACCGCAGCCTTCAGAAGAAAACATTTAGCGAGCTGTATGAGGCAGTGAATTGTTTCCCTCTGGAAAAGAATTCTTGGCTGAGGCTGAGTTCATGTCCAGGGGGGTTTATCTCCCGTGACAGCGGGAGCAGACAGACAGGAGCAGCTCCCTATCAGGTGCTGTGCCTCAGCCGGTTCAGAGCAGCCCTGGGAGCCGCCCGGGGCCGGAGCAGCTCCGTGCAGAGACACCCTCAGTGTCCCCGGCCGGGCACGTCACCTCCTGCCCCGGGGCACTGACTGACACCGCGGGACCGGAGATGCGCTCCAGGGAGCGGGGCGGGTGGAGCTGCTGACCTCCGAGGGGCCCGAGCAACCCGAGCCACCCTGAGATTCCACTTGAAGCGCTCCGACTGACTCCTCCTGCCCCCAGGGACCGGCCCAGAGCCGCTGCCACAGCTGCGGTGTGGGGCTGAGCCCATGGAGCAGCAGGAATAATGCCCAGAGCCCCATAAAGCAGCAGGAATGGTGTCCCAGAGCCCCATTCCTGAGCCCATAAACCAGCAGGAATAATGCTCAGAGTCCCATTCCTGAGCCTATAAACCAGCAGGAATGGTGTCCCAGAGCCCCATTCCTGAGCCCATAAACCAGCAGGAATGGTGCCCCGGAGCCCCATAAACCAACAGGAATGGTGTCCCAGGCTGAGCCCATAAAGCAGCAGGAATGGTGACCCAGAGCCCCATTCCTGAGCCCATAAACCAGCAGGAATAATGCCCAGAGCCCCATTCCTGAGCCCATAAAGCAGCAGGAATGGTGTCCCCAAGCCCCCATTCCTCACGTCCCAGACTGAGCCCATAAACCAGCAGGAATGGTGTCCTGGAGCCCCATGAAGCAACAGGAATGATGTCCCAGGGCCCCATCCCCACGTCCCTCACAGCACCCACACCATTCTCTCCATGTTCCCCTCTCCTTGCTCTGGTAACTTTTCTGCAGCCACGAGGTCATTCCTGCCCAGACCCAGCACCTTTGAGCCTCACTCAGGGTTCCTGTGTCAGCCCTGCCCACGGGATCATCCTCACAGGAAAGCCTGGCCTTGGGAAGGAAACCCCAGCCCGGGCAGCAGCCAGGGCAGGGCAGGGCAGGGATCACAGCCCTGGCTGCTCCTGTTCCTCGGGTGCCACTTCCATCCTCTGACAAACACTGGGAAATTGTGTCCCTGGAAATCCCAGCTTCCATTCCAAACCTCAGGGGATTTGGGGGTTTTGTTCTTTCGTGCAAGAAACAGAGGGGAAAAGAGCTCAGAGAGGAAACGAGCAGCCTGAGCACAGCCAGGGTGCATCACAGCTGGGCACATTTGTGCCAGGCAAAGTGGAACCACCTGGGAACCTCCCTATAAGTATCTGGATTGTGGCTTGAAGGGCCATGATCTGTAATTCCTCTCCAGGTGCCATGAAAGATGCCAAGGGCCAGAGAAGGAGCTCAGCTTCAGGCTGGTAAGTCAGGGGGAAAGGTGGCACAGGCTGGGAGGCAGCACAGGACACCTGGTGCTGCGTTTGCAGCCCTTGAGGATCCACCTTCAGGAAAACTTGGGGTTTCCAAATCATAGCAGATCAAGTGAATGCCTCTCCAATTGCAAGATTGAAAGAGCTACAGTTGTGTTCATCAGAGCTGTGACTGGGAAACAATGAGATAAAATACAGACATGGATTTATATGGAATTATCAAGTTTGCACTGGAAAGGACTTTGAAGATCATTCACCCCTGGGACACCTTCCCCTGTCCCAGGCTGCTCCAAGCCCTGTCCAGCCTGGCCTTGGGCATTCCCAGGGATGGAGCAGCCACAGTTTCTCCTGTGCCAGGGCCTCCCCACCTCACAGGGAAGAGTTTATTCCCAATATCCCAGCTAACCCTGCCCCTGGCAGGTTCCAATGCCCTCAGTGGGTCACCTGCAGTGAAATCCCTGCTGGTAACTTCAAGGCTGGGACAAAGACTGGGCTTGTGAGGGCTCAGTGCCCATTCTCCATCCACCCTCCAGGCTCGTGGGTCGCCTGCCCAGCAAGGGGCTGCTCAGCAGTGCTGCTGGGGTCTGGGCACCCCAGTTCTGGGATTTATGAGTTGCTCCTGCCACAGTCACTGTGCTGTGAGATTCAGCATCACTCTGTGTGTGTTTTGGCCCTGATGGTTTGTCAGGGATTTCAGGCAGATGATGCTGAGGACAAACCTCCAGCCTGCTGCCAGAGAGGGACTCGGTTCTGGATTAACCTCCAGCCTCAGCAGAGTGCTACAAACCCCAGCCCACGGCTGGATAAACCCCAGCCCACGGCCGGATCCTGCGCCCTGCGAGGCTCAGGCACAAACACTGACACAGGACAGGCTGTCAGCTCCTCCCTGTGCCACGGGCTGTCAGCTCCAGAGGACATCAGCCCCGATTTTTTATTGTTCTGTGTGCCTCGCATAGAGCACAGATTGCTTAAGAGAATGGCACTCCGTGGAGTTTGACCCGGGAGCCCTGATAGTGAAAATAATGCACTTCTCACCAGAGCCACGGGAGACCAAAAGAGTAACTTCGGTCAATTAGTTTAACTTTGACTATAAATATTCCTTCTCATCCCTTGTGACCCTGTTAACAGCTCCGCTGGCAAACCCCGATTCTCTGGCAATATTTAAGCTGCCTGTCAGTTGGCAGAGCCCTGCTGGTGCCCGGCGCGGGGAGCAGAATAAGACCCGGCTGAGCGCAGTAAGTTCCCTTTCAGTTCTACCTCGAGTCGGGAGCTCGGCGGGGTTCGGGGAGCTCTGCCGGGCTGCNACACTGCTTGGGGATGCTCCTCTCTCCCGGGCACGTGGCCCTTGCAGGGTGGGATCAGGCTGGATCCCAGGCTTGGCTGCTCTCCAGGAGGGCTCATCCTGCTGTGTGGCTGTGCCTGGTGTCCCTTGCAGTGTCCTTCCTGCAATGTGTGTGCTGTGTCCTTGTCTGCGGTAACCCAACCCTGTGCTCGGGGCTGAGCTGTGCAGGATTGTTATCCCAATGCAGGATCAGTGCCTGGTGAGAGCTCAGGATGCTGGGCAGGGCAGGGTGCCCATGGAGGGCAGGATCCACCCCTGGGCACAGCCCTGAGGAGGCTGCAGGGTCCCTGTGCTGCTCCCAAATGCCCAGAGCTGGGAGCCAGGCCTGGCTCTTCCCTCTGGAGCAGCACTGGGCTCCCCTCAGCCCCACCTCAGGAGCCCTGGGATGCCCCAGCTCGTTTGCAGGTGCTCTCAGACCAACCCCAGCACCTGGAATGACTTGGAATGCAAGGGACCTTAAAGATGCTCTCATTTCACCCCTCATACCTTCTACCAGAGCAGGCTGTTCCAAAGCCCATCCAGCCTGACCTACTCCAAAGCACGCAGCCAGTGGCCCTCAAAGTGCTCCACTGGCCTCGAGGGAAGCCAAGGAAAGATGGAATATTTCTTTGGAAAGATGGAATATTTATTTTGCAGACTCTGACTCTGCTGAGTCCCCGAGCAGCTCCTCGGCCCTCACCTCCCTGCAGTGGGTGGCAGAGATTCTCCCCTCTAGCATCAAGATCCAGGGAAGGACGTTCACGCAGCAGCTGGAGCACCTGCTGACCCCCCCCGAGCGTTTCAGCGTCTGCAAGGCCCTGGAGGGCTTCTTCCACCACCGGTAACTCCTGCCAGCTGGGACCCCTGCCCTGGCACGGGGCACTGCCAGGGTCACTGCCAGGCAGGGCACACCTGGGGCAGTGCCAGGGTCACTGTCAGGCTGGGCACACCTGGGGCAGTGCCAGGGTCACTGCCAGTCAGGGCACACCTGGGGCAGTGACCTCCTTTCCTGCCCTTGCTTGGTCTCCCAGCAGTGCTTTGTCAGAGGCTGTCACAGAACCATGGGATGATGGAATATTTGTGTTAGAAGGGACCTCAAAGCCCACCCAGTGCCACCCCTGCCATGGCAGGGACACCTTCACTGTCCCAGGGTGCTCTCAGCCCTGTCCAGCCTGGCCTGGGCACTGCCAGGGATGCAGAGGCAGCCACAGCTGCTCTGGGCACATGTGCCAGGGCAGCATTTCATCCTGTTGCAGGCTGTTCTATCCTCATGGGATGGGGTGCTCAGCTGCTCCCAACAGCCCTTTTCCTCAATCTACACACCAAAATCAGATGGAGCCTTTGGCCCCAGGAGCTGCCACCCTCCTGTTTCCAGGAACACTGTCACCCTCACTGCCCTCTCCTGTTTTCCAGGACTGTTGTCACCCTCACTGCCCAGCCCTCTCCTGTTTTGCAGGACCATTGACACTCTCATTGTGGATGTGTACCCGGTGCTGGACACCCCAGCCAAGCAAGTCCTCTGGCAGTTTATCTACCAGCTGCTGAGCTACGAGGAGCAGGAGCACTGCCAGCAAAAGCTGGACAGGTTTCTGGGGTGCAAGGCCTTGGCAGGTGAGAGGCAGCCCCGTGCTCCAGGATGGACACGCCATGTCCTGATGGTGCTGGGAGCTCAGTCCCTTGTGCTGGTGCAGTTTTGGATGCAGAGGAGAGGTGGCACCTCAGAGGGTCACTCTGGGGGCTTTTGGAAGCTGCTCAGGTGTTAGAGGTGAGCAAGTCCAGGACAGCTGGTGCAAGGGCAGCATTCAGATCAGAGAGGTGAAATAAAGGTGACACGGCATCCCTTGGGATGCCACAGACACATCCCTGTTTGGAAAAGGTGGTGCTGCTCTCCCAGGAAGACACAGAGGCAGTTGGTGATCCCCTTGTCCCCCTCAGCATCACCCTCACCTGGTTGTGTGGCAGCACAAAGCCAGTGGTGGACTCAGGAGAGCAGGTTTGGAGTGAAATGTCCTAATCTGTGCGTGTGTGCTCTTAATTGCTTCCAGTTTTGCTGTTCTCAGCTGCTCACACAGATGTGTTAATTTTAGACCCAGCAAAGGTAAAAGTAGTGTTGTTTTGGAGGAACGCAGCGACTTTAGCAGGAAACAGAACAGCCCCAAGTCCTGGTGCAAATCCTGCCTGTTGTGCATGGGATGCTGTGCTTTGTGCACCCTGGATCTGCTCACTGGGTTTGCACTGAGCCCCCTCTGCTCTGTGTGTGCAGGATCACAGCTCAGCCACGGGCTGTGCATCCCCAGGGATTCATGTCCTGTAATCGGTGTGCAGTTCTCAGCTGCATTCCAGGGATGCAGAGCAGCAATCCCCAGCCAGGGGAGGCTCAGGGGCACATCTCCCTGTCCCAGGCTGCTGTTCCCAGCCCCAGGCTGGTCCCTGGCTCCTCTCAGTGTCTCAGGTGAACGGGGCAGTCTCTGAGCATGAACATTTTTCATTGTTCTGGTCTGTTCTGTGTCTGTGCCCTGCAGCACCATGGCCAGGTGAGATCTCTGGATTTGGGCTGGTCCTTCCCCTGGGCTCCAAACTGGGTGATCTCCCCTGTCCCAGTGCTGGGTACCTCAGGGATGGATCCCTCCATCCTGTGAGCCTCCCTGAGCTGCACATGGACACTGCATGGGCCATGTGCTCCTTCCATAGGGGGCATGAAGGGTTTACTGGGACCAGCCGCACTCAGGGCTGCAGTTCCACATGGGCCATGAGCTGGTGGATGGCAAAAGGGATTGGATGGAAAAAGGGATTGGATGTCCCATCCCTGAGCATCCATCCCTGCCCTGTGCTGGCAGCAGCACCTGAACCTGCTCAGCTCCAGGGATGGAGCCAGCAGCTACCTGGCAATGTGGGTTCCATGGGGGGCTCTGGGGGTGCCTGTGCAGGGTGAGGGGCAGCAGTGGGAGCTGTGGGTCTGGCTGTGCCTCACGAAGGTGTTTCCTCACAGCCGAGGCAGAGGCTGAGGATCGGTACCGCAGCTCCATCCGAGGCGCCTCCCTGTGCCGGGGCAGCCTCAGGACCCCCCGGCCCGAGGAGGGGGCAGCAGGTGGGTGAGGGGGCTGGATTCCCTGTCCTGGGGAGGGGATAGGATAGGGTGGGTGATTTGGGATGGATTCCCTGCACTGGGGAGGGGATAGGATAGGGTGGGTGATTTGGGATGGATTCCCTGTCCTGAGGAGGGGATAGGGTGGGTGATTTGGGATGGATTCCCTGCCCTGAGGAGGGGATAGGGTGGGTGACTGGGGCTGGGACATGGGACTGTCCCTGCTGTGTCCTGCTCTGCCCCAAGACAAATTCCTGACCAATTCCCAAGCAAGAATGATGGGAAAAGATGGAGGCAAAGGTGGAGGGAGGTCAGAGGGCCAGCAGTGAGGCACCAGCTGGAAATCCATGTTTTCAGAAACAGAATCACAGAATTATAGAATGACAGAATCATTTAGGTAGGAAAAGCTCTCCAAGATCATCGAGTCCAGGCTGTGACTGATCCCCACCTTGTCACCCAGCCCAGAGCACTGAGAGCCACATCCAGGGACAGCAATTCCATAATGAAAGCACCAATTCAATAAGAGACCACTAGATCATAAGTCTGAATGTTATTTTCAACCCTTTCCATCACTCAGATGTGAACTGCTCCTGCTGTCTGCTGCCCACCCCTTCTGGGGATAAAATTTCTGGCTTCCCTCTGAACATTCCCAGAGTCCATCCAATTAACAGGGCAAACCACACTTGTGAAATGATGTGAGGAGGGAGATCATGGTTCAGGGCCCCTTTGAGACTCTGACAAGCCCCATTTGAGGCCCCAGCCCTGCGTCCCTCCAGGGCACACAGCCCTGCCTGTCCCATCTCCCCTGGCTGATGCCGAAGGGCCCTGAGCTGTGCTCCTGAGCACAACCTCCCTCTGACCTCCCTGAGCACCTCCTGGCCGTGTGGTGTCCCTCAGCTGTCAGGGGGGCTCTGGGACACTTCCCAGGGGAAGAGGATCCTCTGCCCTGGCTCCGAGGAGTTGTTCTGGAGGGGATTAGAGCCTGGAGAGCAGCCAACAGCTGTGTGTGCTGCCGGGGAGCCGTGGCTGGGCAGATGTTGGCCAGCTGTGGGAGCAGCCCTGTCCTCAGCTGCCCCCAGGGGAGAATGGAGCAGCTTGGAGCTGTCTGCTGACCCCAAACCCACCCTGCACTGCTCCCTGGGGACCCCCAGAGCCGAGAGCTGGGGCTGGGACTTCACTGTGGGTCCCAGCAGCACACAGGGCCCCGTGTGGGTCAGGGCTGTGTGGCTGGGGCACACACAGAGCAGTGACTTTGTCTCTCCCTCTGCAGGCAGTGACACCGTGGAGGTCCCCGTGCGCCTGATCCCTGGAGAGAGACAGGCTGGAGATGGCACATCCCTCCCGGAGACACCCAACCCCAAGATGGTGTGATTGATGGGGCAGGGGGCACCTCTGTGGGGCTCTGCCCGCCTCGGTGGGGTGGTGTGGGCACAGGAAGGTTCCTGGCTCCTTTGCTGTGAGCACAGGGCAGCAGGAAAAGGGAATGGGGTGTGTGGGTGAACACCTGCAGGGGCTGAGGGTGTCCCTGCCCCTCTCTGAGGTCACCTCCCCGGGCAATTAGTCACCTCTAATGAGGCTGATGCCTGCCAGTGTCTCCCTGCAGCCTCATCAGTGAGAGGCTCTTGGGGGGCTCAGACAGGGCTGGGGTGAAGCCCCCCTTTATAGAGTGAGAGATGGGTACTGGTGGGCCAGAGAGTTCCAGAAAGGTTTGGGTTGGAAGGACCTCAGAGCCCACCCAGTGCCACCCCTGCCATGGCAGGGACACCTTCCCTATCCCAGGGTGCCCCAATCCCTGTCCAGCCTGGCCTGGGCACTGCCAGGGATGCAGGGGCAGCCACAGCTCTGGGCAGCCGGGTCTGTGGGGACTGTGCTGTCCCCAGGGCATGGCAGGTCACTGGGGCAGCTCTCTGGGGCTCCTCAGCAGCTCTGGCCATGGCAGCAGCTCTGTGTCCTCCCCCAGATGTCAGCTGTGTACGCGGAGCTGGAGAATCGCCTGATCGGGGGCTTTGGCGGCAAGGTGGGCAACGCTGCCCTGCACAGGACATCCCCCCCTGCCCCCGAGCTGCCACACGCTGCTGCAGGTACCTCTGGGGACCTCAGGGGACCTTGGGGGTGCTGGCCAGGCGGGTGGGGACAAGGCAGTGTCCCCTTGGTGCCATTGCACAGGGCAGTGTCCCCTTGGTGCCATCGCACAAGGCAGCAGCCATGGTTCTGTGGGTGAGGGAACCCGCAGGGCTGGCTCTGCAGTGTGGAATTTTCAGGCACTCTGAGTGGGATGAGAATTTGACTCTTAAGTTTCAGAAGGCTGGTTATTATTNCTGAGCTGTGCCCTTTGTGTCCCACAGCGGGCTCTCAGTGACGTGCAGGTGGGCGAGAGCCAGCGCAGCCCCAGGATGACCTCTCCCCTGGCCTGGTGACGGCCTGCAGCCACCTGAGGTGCAACAGCTCCTTGCCAACAAAGTGCAATTTGCTCCTGTCCAGCCTGGTGTAAATACGCTGCTGCCTCCTGCTCCCAGCCAGCAGGGTCACCGACAGAGGGGCCGGGGCAGGCACTGAGGAGGCACCGCAGGTGACACAGGGTGACAGAGGGTGACACAAAGACAAACCCTGCACTGGTCCTCACAGAGCTTCCTCAGCACCCTCCAACTCCATAGATCCCTGAGCCCGGGGTTTGTGTCCATCTGGTAAAACCCCACTGAACCACGTTCCCCAAACTCCTGTGACTGGAGACCTTCCCCACACCCCCAGGGGCACTGCCCGAGCCGGGGGGCACTGCCCAGCAGCCCTGGGCTGGGGGAGAGCCACAGAGCCCCCGGGCAGCCCAGCAGGGAAGGGAGCAGGGGGATGAGCAGCAGGGAGGGCACCTCCCGCTCCTCTGGGGATGCTGCTGAGCCCTGTCCAGCCCCTCTCCAAGCCCCTCTGCCCCAGAGCACCGGGGGAACAGCAGAGCAGAGAGCACCGGAGGTGGCCCAGGAGCTCCAGTTCCCTCCCCTGGCAGCCAGTGGCAGTGCAGAGCAGCAGGGCCCTGCAGGACCCTCCTGGCACATCCCCGAGGTCCCGAGGATGGATCCGGTCTGATCCTTCCAGCTCACGGCTCCTTCCTGGCCCTCGGCTCTGCACAAAGCTGTGCCAGAGGCTGACAGGCCTTGAAACCCTCCCAAGAGAGCAACACCATCAGCACGAGGTTGCTGGAACTCGCCAGCAGGCAGCCCTGAGCAGTTCCATGGCTCTTGGAAAGCACAGAATGCCCGGGAGCCTGAATGGGAGCAGGAGGGCTCTGCAGCCCCAGGTGCTGCTCCGGGCACGGCACGGGGGAGCAGGGCATCACCCTAGAGGGGTTTAACAGCCCTGGGCATGTGGCACCTGGGCACAGTGCTTGGGTGAGGGGTGGCTTTGGCAGAGCAGGGGCAGCAGCTGCACTGGATGGCCTGGGAGGGCTTTCCCAACATAAATGGTTCCACCATCCTGGCAGCCCCTTTGCTGCAGGAGCAGTTTTCGTGGGGGATATCCCAGGGAGCTCCAGGAGTGTCCACGGCCACCTTCCAGTGTGCACACCCATCTCTTGATGTGCACACCCACCTCCAGATGTGCACACCAACATCCCAGTGTGCACACCCATCTCTCACCGTGCACACCCACCTCCAGATGTGCACACCCACCTCTCATCGTGCCCATCCCTCTCCCAGCTGCCCGGAACCTCCTGGATCCCCTCTTTGTGCCCCTGGCACGGAGGGACAGCGTTCCACGGCCGCTGCTTGCGCCTGCGGGGGCTCCCGAGCTCTCTCCGTGCTTTGTGGGCATCCCCTCCGTGCAAAACCCACNTTAAATCATTGATGACCCTCTCTTCCATTTCTCTTCTATAATTTGTAGAAAAAATCCCTTCATGTGCCCTGGGAATTATGTGATTCAGGAATTCAGGCAGCAACTCAGTAGAGGTTGTCCTGTGCTGTGATGGCCCAGCTGAGCAGGGTCCCATGAGGACAAAGCTCCTCCATATCCTGTTGTGGTGCAAGGCTTGCGGTCCCTATGACAAGGAGCAGCCCGGGCCCCGTGAGGATGAGGGTCACTGTGGTCCCTGTGTTGGTGACTTCCAGGCAATCGCTGGCAGAGTCACGGGGCCGATCCCTGCCCTGCCCTGTCCTGCTCTCCCTGTGGGCTCAGCCTGCTCCTGCCGCAGGGCTGGCAGCCCCCAGCTGTGGGACACTGCCCCAGCCCAGCCTGGAGCCCCTTCTGACCCTTCCCTTCCCTCCCTGGCAGGGCATGTTCTGTGTGCTGGTGCTGGCCTGGCTCTTCCTGCCCATCTACATCGCCTCGGGGGTACGTGGGGATGGATGGATGGATGGATCAATAAGGGGTGGATGGGCTCCCTCCGCTGCTCCTGGCACTGCTCCCCTGGCCCGACTGGGGTGGCAGAGCTGCTGGCAGGGGGCTCAGGCTGCCCCCAGCCCCTGGCAATGAGCAAAGACCCCTCCATGCACTGACCATGGGGATGGACACTCACTGGTGATGGGGATCCCTGTGCAGCATCCCAGCAGAGCCAAACCCCAGCCCAGGGCAGCCCCCAGGGCCCTCCTGCTCCTGTCCCACTGCAAACACCCCCAGAGCCCCTGGGGAGCCCCTGGCAGCTCTGGGGGTGCCCCAGGCACTGTGCCCCCTTCCCTCACTCCCTGTCCCTCCACAGGTTACCACCATGCCGGAGTATCTGCAGAGGCGCTTTGGGGGCAAAAGAATTCAGATATTCCTGGCCATCCTCTACCTGTTCATCTACATCTTCACCAAAATATCTGTAAGTAGGAAAAATAAAGGGAAATGGGTTGGGTTGAATTCACTTTGGGAATGTGTGCTGAGCAGTGAGGCTGAGAAAGGCAAGGAGTGGCTGTGCCTGGCTGAGCAGAGAAGGGTTTGTGATCAAAACACCCAGGGAAGACAGACTGTATTTTAAGGAGTGGCTTCTCTTTTTTTGCTCAGCTAGCACCTGAATGGCTGTGACAGCAGGAGGGACAGCTCGTGTCAGTGCCCTGAGCAATAGTCCATGGACAGGTGGGGCTCTGAGGGAGGATGTGGTGGCTGTTAGATTTTGCACCCCTGGCAGCTCCCCCAGCTTCTCCCCTTTGCTCATTTATTGCCTGTGCAGACACAGGTGCTGTTATGGCAGGATGGAGGAGCTGGGACAGGCTTGGAGGAGAAGTCTTCATTCCTTTATTGCACCTGTTTGAATAAATAACTGAATGAAGCCTTGCACAACAGCCTGGTGGCTGTTCATTAACTGCCAGCCAGGGCACGGATCCGTGGAGCACACAGATCCCTGCTGGGGTATTTCCTGTCCTGGGGGGGAACACGGTGTCTGACCCTGCCTCTGAACCTCCCAAAACCTCTGACAGAGGCTGGGAGTGCCAGGGCACAGGGAATGGCTGCCCAGGGCCAGAGGGCAGGGCTGGGTGGGGAACTGGGCAGGAATTCTGCCTGGGAGGGATGCAGAGCAGCTGTGGCACCCCTGGATCCCTGGCAGTGCCCCAGGCCAGGGCTGGGAGCGGCCTGGGGGGTGTCCCTGCCATGGCAGGGTGGGAATGGAATGGGATTTAAGGTGTCCCTTCCACCCAAAGCACTGCAG